CGAAGCGCTTCACGGAGAGGCTGCGGGCGCTGGAGGCGCTGCGCCACCCGGACGGCACGCCCGTCTACCGCGTAGAAGAGACGAAGCCGTTGCTGGGCAGCAGGGCGCCGCGCATGGAGGCGGAGCGCCCCAAACAACGGAGGTGGAACGGGGTGGACGACCCCGTGAACCACTGCCTGGCGGGCAACTCCCTGCTGCTCACGGGCCTGCCGGGCGCCGGGAAGACGCACCTGGCCCGCACCATTGTGGCGAGGCTGCGAGAGCAGGGCGAGGCGGTGCACCTCGTCTCAAAGACGCACTGCTCCGCGCAGAACCTGGGCTGGGGGGCGCAGACGGCCGACCACTGGGTGCGCAGGCACGTGCGCGGGGGCAGCGCGCAAAAGCTGGACTGGCTGGTGGTGGAGGAGATCACGCAGCTGGACATGGCGCTCTGGGCGGACCTGGCCTGCGTGGGGCTGAACGCCGACGTGAAGTTCCTGCTGCTGGGAGACTTCCGGCAGCTGCCGGCCGTGCTGGACTCCTGGGCCGGTCGGCCCATCAGCGCGCCGTTGGAGCACAGCCAGCTCATCCGCGACCTGGCCGGCGGGCACAGGCACGAGCTCACGGAGAACATGCGCTCCGACCCCGCATCTTCGACTTCGTGAAGTGGCTGCGGGTCGGCGAGGAGGCGTGCCCCACGCTGGAGCAGGCCAAGGCGAGGCTGAAGGAGCTCTACCCCTCCAAGCCCGGGTGGCCGGACACCCCGCTGGTCATCAGCCACAGCAAGCGCATGGCCGTGAACGCAGCGGCGAACCGGGCCCTGGCGCCGGAGGGCTCCAAGCTCCTAGAGCTGGAGACGCAGGTCATCCACATAGATTTGGGTTGCTACGAATCGGTACCAACCCAAAACGGTTGTGATAAATCTATACCAACCAATGGGTGTGATAAACCTATAACACAAAACAGCCCGCAGAGCATGAGGGTTTGGCCGGGGCTGCGCCTCATCGGGGCCGGCGGAAAAATTCCCAAGGGCGTCTTTGTGGCCGTGGCGGAAGTGGAGCCGGACGGAGTGAGGCTGGACAACGGCATGCGGCTGAAGAACCAGGAGCTGCTGCGGGCCACCCGGCCCAGCCACGCAGTTACCTACGCCAGCTGCCAGGGGCTCACCCTCCACAACCGCGTCCGCCTGGACCTGGAGTCCTGCCACCTCACGCTGCGCCACCTGTACGTGGGCGCGTCAAGGGCCACGAGCTCCGAGCTGCTGGAGGCGGCCTAGAACGGGCAGCACGGCGCCTCCAGGGGCTCCAGCATGAGGTGGCGCACCTCGAAGAGCACGCCCCACTGCCTGCCCATCAGCCACACGCGCCGGGCCTCCACAAGCGCGCGGCCCCTGCGGCGCGCGAACTCCGCGGGGCGCGGCACGCGGTTGCCGGCGGAGTCCCAGAAGAGGCAGCGCTCCAAGTCCATCTTGCACTTCACGTGCTTGCCCTTGGCGCTCACCTTGACGGCGCGCTGCAGCTGGCTCTCAAGCTCGGCGCGGGTGACCCCCGGAAAGGGCTTCTGGAAGATGATCATGTCGTCGACGACGGCCTGCTCCACCCCATCCGTCCACGCCCCCAGGTCGGTGTTGCTCGCAAAGCACACGCCCACCCTCTTGGCCCCGTCGTCCTGGAAGTTGCCGGGCTCCCACAGCACCTCCACGTCCGCCTTGCACACCAGCGCGCCCTGATGGGAGTCCTCTATGGACATGAACTTCCCCCCCTTGGCATTGGTCTGAACGTCCAGCCCGAGTGCAAGCTTCATTGCTCGGCTTTTTTTATCCCTAGGAAAAAAGTCCGGTCCGATGAACACGCGAGTTTTCCTGGTCGTAGTGGCGGTGATCTTGCTCTTTAAAAATGCCGAGACTCCTGGAGCTTTTCTGCGGCACCAAGTCGGTGGGCAGGGCCTTCGAGGCGGCGGGCTGGGAGGTCGTCTCCCTGGACATCGTGTCGAAATTTGAGCCCACCATCCTCTGCGACATCCGGAGCTGGGACTACACGACGTTCCCGCCGGGGCACTTCGACATGGTCTGGGCCAGCCCCGTCTGCACGGAATACAGCCGCGCGCTGACGACGCGCCCGCGGCGGCTCCTGGAGGGCGACGCGCTGGTGCTCAGCGCCCTTGAGATCATTGCGCACTTTGACCCGCTCATGTGGATTGTGGAGAACCCGGCCACCGGGCTGCTGAAGACCCGCCCGTTCATGGAGCGTCTGCCCTGGGTGGACGTGAATTATTGTAAGTACGGAACTCCGTACAAAAAGCAGATGTGGCTGTGGACCAACATGCGCTGGAGGCCGAGGCGAGGCCTGTGCAAGCCCGGCAGCCGCTGCGAGGCGTGGCAGGACGGCAGGCACCTCCGGGCCGCGCAGCGGGGGCCGCGGCTGATGGAGGGGCAGTACGAGAGGGTCAGCCAATCACGCAAGCTGCTCTACAGCGTTCCTGCCGCGCTGTGCGAGGAGATTGCGCGCGCGGCCACGGAGGAGCTTGCGGAGCGGCTGAGCAGTCCGGATTAGACCGTTCAGGCTTCGTCTAATCCGACGAGCCTGGAACAGTCCTTTTTTCCATGTTTTTTGCATGTTTTT